CTGCCTGCTCTGCAGTCCCACTCCTTGAAGCTTCTTGTCTTCTCGAGCCAGGAGCAGGAGTTTCCCTTCTGTCCCAACCTCACGTTCACCTGACAAAAGGAAAACAGTTAATTCCAGCAGCAGGTACACCACAGGCCTTGATGGTACCAACACCTCACAGTTTGTATCAACCCTGCCGAACCCAGAGCAGCATTCCTCCACACCCTGAGACACCAGATGCAGCAAGGCAGGCCAGTCATCAGAGATCTCAGTCTGAAACTAGAGCACATATCTTATGAGGAGTGGCTGAGGGAACTGGGGGGGTTGAGCCTGGAGAAAAGGAGGCTGAGGGGAGACCTTGTGGCTCTGTGCAAGTCCCTTGGAGGAGGGGGGAGAGAGGTGGGGGTGGGTCTGTTCAACCAAGGCCCAAGGGACAGGACAAGAGGAAATGGGCTCCAGTTGTGGCCAGGGCAGTTGAGATGGGATGTGAGGAAGAATTTCTTTGCTGCAAGGGTTCTGAGGCATTGGAAGGGGTTGCCCAGGGCAGTGGTGGAGTCCCCATCCCTGGAGGGATTGAAGAGTCGTGTAGACACAGTGCTGAGGGACATGGGTTAGTCATAGGGGACTGGTCAGTGTTGGGTTCATGGTTGGACTCCATGATCTCAAAGGGCTTTTCCAATCCAGGCAATTCTGTGTGATCTTGTGATCTATGAAACTGCTCGATAAGGCTCAATTCCTCCACAAGCCTGGTGTGCTCTCTATTCTGGTCACCCTTGTTCCCTTCCCTACATGGTACAAAGACACACAACAACCTGCCACACACTCAGGATTATTGGTGACAAACCAAAGCAGTTTGGGACAGGGGAATGAAGATTAATTTGAAGAGGAAAGATCCTTACTAGGAGTCTTTTCAGGCGTGCCCAGGTTCAGGGAGTTGTCAGCAGTGCCCACGGCAATGCCGTTGACAGGAGAGCCGCAGTCAGCGATGACACCCAGACAGGCAGATTTTCCACAGTCCCAGAGACGGGCAGTGCCATCTCGAGAGCAGGAAAGGACATTTCTTCCTCGATCCACAATGGCAGTGTCCAAAATACCTGCAGGAAAGCAAAAGTCATGTTCAGACAGACAGCATGGAAGGTGGATAGATACAGCATCTCATTTCTCAAGGTGAACTCAACTACAAGCCCCGAGCCACTGTCCCCAGAGTGCCACCAATCCACACCCAACCAAATTGTGTGGGGTGCAGGGTGGGGCAGGGAGCCACAGCATCTAGGAAGAGGTGAATGTGGAAGGCAGCAGCTCCCAGTAAACCATATGAAGTGGGAGCCACCACCTGGCACAACGGGAAGATATTACCCATAAAATGATCAGCAACACCTTGCCTCAGACTGAGCTGATATCGCAGCTGCTGCCAAGTTTCTACCTCCAAAATTAACCTCTAACTTGGACAGAAAACAGTCTGTCAGAATATTCTTAAAATGAAGTCAAGTCCAGCTGTGGATAATCCCACAAATTGTGTGGGGCAAGCAGCATCCACATTATCCAGCTACAGCAACATCAAAAGAGCAGTCTTTGCATCCCCTAAATACTTAATTTCACTGCAGGATGTTGAGTCTAGACCTGAAAAATGACTTTGGGGGTGGGTCTGTTCAACCAGAACAGACTTTGGCCAAGGGCAAGGGGTGAGAGAACAAGGGGTGATGGCTTGAAAGTGTCAGAGGGGAGATGGAGCTGAGATGTGAGGAAGAAATTGCTTGGTGTGAGGGTGGTGAGCCAGTGTCCCAGGCTGTCCAGAGAAGCTGTGGCTGCTCCTCCCTGGAAGTGTTTGTGGCCAGGCTGGATGAGGCTTTGAGCAACCTGGTCTAGTGGAAGGTGTCCCTGCTGCTGGCAGGGGGGTTGGAACTGGAGGAGCTTTAAGGTCCCTTCCAACCCAAACCAGTCTGGGATGATCTAACACAAATGCACAGCACCAAGAGCAGCAGGCTGCTGTCGGACTATCAGCCCTCAGGTGCAACACAATTATACACATGGCAGATGAAGCATTTTCAAGGCTGAGTTAGTCCTCTGTACCTCCTTTGTGACCTTTAAATGTTACCACACAGCTGGCATCTTCTGCTGACCAGATCTTTAGCTGGGCATCCATTCCCCCACTCAGAACCACGAGGCCCGATGGGAAAAACCTGCAACAATTCACATCATACACATGGCCTTCCAATAGTCTCTGGAAAAACAAAGAACTACGTGCTAGTTCCATTGTTATCACCCTTCTGCAGAGCAATTTCTGAGCTATGACACTGGAAAACTTGGCTGTTTCTATGTGGGCAGAGGAATGCAAACCCAGAATTCAAATCCTCTGAGTTTACCTTCCTGCAGTGGACTCTGAATTTGAGGTATTCAAAGAAGTACCAACTTCCTAGTAACTTTGGGGCTCCCTCTGCCATTTGAGCAGCTAATTACATAGCAGAGGATACTACATTTGTTTCTAATAACAGGTTAAATGTCTTTATCTTCTGCCAAACAAGCAGCTGACAGGTCAAGCTCCACAAGAAACAACTTAACTGGGAAACAGCTAACCATGATGTGGTTAATCCATCATGGGCAAGAGTCTTTTTTCCTCATCTCTTCTCTACTGCAGAAGAAATTCAGTGGTGGTACCACACAGGTTAGGAGCTGTCATTCCTAAATATCCATTCTTATTTTCACCCTGAGATTCCTCTCCAGATTGCTGAGCATCACTTCCCTTGGGAGAAGATATGACTTAAAACCTCTGAGATGTCAAATTTCATTTAATTTTTCATTCAAAAGCCAGATTCTTGCCTGCCCTAGACCACAGTGTGTGGATAACCTGACCAAAGTCACAGCTGAATGACTTCAGTAATGTCACAGACAACACACAACATCAAAGCCAGCTGCTCTTACTCTTATTTCTCCATTTGCAGCCTGCCAGATTTTCATGGTCCCATCTGTGCTGGTAGACACACCAAGCCCTCCACCACTGGAAATATCAAGACAGATAATCTGCAAGAAGGTAAAATACATTAAATATTAGTTTTATATGACCCTGTATATAAGTATTTCTGCTCAAAAGCCTAAGTCTGTACTGCCAAGCACATCATTTAGTGCTGTTATCTCCCTAAGACATGCTGCTGCACTCATTTGAAACACCCAAAAGAGTTTCTATGTGCCTACAGATAAGGCTTTCTCCCCTCAATAAGATTTATGAGATATTAATTAAGCCTTTAAGAAATCAGAAAACATGTGGATCCTGAGCATCAGGCTTTTTCTAGAGGACAAAGACAGCATAAAAAGAAATTCTCCTCAATTTATCTGTTTACACAGATTGCTGCATTCCTCCTTCCAAGAGTGAGCTGCTGATCTGGGCTGACCCACAGCCAGGGCTCAGATGAGTTGAGTGACTGGAATCTGGCAGGAAGCACCCCAGATTTTTTGTAATTGCCATCAAATTTGACAGAGAAATTGTTATTCTCTGCCTGTGACTCTGCAGAGACCTGCAAAGCCAAGAGAAAAAAGAAATGCTGAGTCAGAAGCTTGCACAGACAGCAGCTGTATTTCAGGTTTACACCAGGTGAAGGAGAAATGTGGATTTTTCTAGCAATTCCTGTACACAGGACTCACAAGTGCACAAGACATTGTTTGAGATATTTATGAAGCCAATGAAACAACCTTAATTTTGTGAAAAACCAACTCAAAAACTTCTGAGGCAGGTTAACTCCTCACGTGGTCTCTCACATTAAGGTATTAACAACTGCCTGCTTTGCATAAACTCTGGGAGAGATAAATAATTTGAAGAGAGCAGATGTTGAGTTTATATTGTTGTGTTTTAGTTGTAGATAAATGCAGCTGGACTAGATGATCATTGTCAGTCCTTGAAAGATTCTGTTCTATAATAATTTAAGGTAACAGGTATTCTACCCTTGAGTGAAATGATGACACCTTCCAAGTGACAAAGATATTTTCAATATCTGTGAGGGTGGTGAAAGTGTCAGAGGGGAGATGGAGCTGAGATGTGAGGAAGAAATTGTTTGGTGTGAGGGTGGTGAGCCAGTGTCCCAGGTTGCCCAAGGAAGTTGTGGCTGCTCCTCCCTGGAAGTGTTTGTGGCCAGGTTGGATGAGGCTTTGAGCAACCTGGTCTAGTGGAAGGTGTCCCTGCTGCTGGCAGGGGGGTTGGAACTGGATGAGCTTTCAGGTCCCTTCCAACCCAAACCAGTCTGGGATTCTATGAATGTGCTCCCTAGTTTAAAATAAAATAAAATAAAACCCTGTGAAGGTGACTCAAGCAGGAAGGAAAAGCCTCCCTGGTGTCTGACACACCCCACGTTTTCAGGAGGGATAAGTGAACAGGCAAGGCCAAGCCTGAGCACTCAGAAGAAGAGGCAGCAGGTAAACTGGAGCTGAGTCCACACCAGCTTTCACCTCATCTCCATGTGAACAGACATTGCTTCAGCTGCTTCCCAGAGGAGAGATCTGCAGCATTGCACCCGCCTGGCAGCAGCCTGAACACTCACCCCTGCACTGTCCCTTCTGCTGCTCTCTGAGTGTTCATTCCACTTATCACACAAAAGGGCAGCTGGGGACTCTTCAGAAAGCTCAGAGAGGTGATTCACCTCGAGCTCCATCTCTCATCAGAGCCCCACTTCCTCTTAAAGCAGCTGCAGAGACGTGGAATCACCTCGATGTCAAAACACACCTTGATTTATATCGTTCCATTACGAGAGATTTGAGTTTTCAGCATTTCCAACTGGGTTTATCACAACAATTTGCTGAAAAAATCATGAGACAACTGTACTAAACCATCTCCAGGAGCTTCCAGAGGACTCCATTTAGTGTAGCTGGTTGTACCTCCACTTTAGACACTGCCTAGTTTCTTGGATCATCTCCACGTAGAGTGAAACGTTCAGCAAAAGCATGAGCTGCTTTCCAGCAAAGCCAAGATCTGAGCTTCTCTTCAGTGAAGAAATTAAATTGCAGATCAGAGTCAGCCTTTCTGCAGCACTGTTCAGTGAGGAGATGTTATTTGTTGCACCCCCAGATTGATGGGGGTGCAATAAGAAAGAAGATTATTCAGCAAAACGAGCAGGATTGCTTTGAAATAAGTGAGAAAAACCAAATATATATATATATATTTTAAATACAAGCTGAGCCTTTCTGGTCTGTGAATTCCCATCAGGTCAAATGCAAGGTCCTGCACCTGGGTC